AGGCTGAGCAATTTTTTTTTTCTCCACTAGGAAACGATGCTGGCAGGTGCTCGTAGTGAGATGTGGAAAGCAGAGCTTTGCCTGGCTCCTGCTGGCAACCCAGGCCGAAAGGGCTCCTCGTTTGCTGGGGAATCAGAGCCATCTGTTAGAGTCCTAACAGGGAACAACAACAAAACCAAATACACCCGGTGAACATGGGTAAAACACAAATGCTTCTTGAGCTGTTGGTGTTTTATTCACAACGCACCAATCTCCTGGTCCCTCCATATGGGAATGCGCTCGCTTCTCCATGTCCTTTTGTCTCCTAACGGCACTTTTTTTTCTTTTTTTTTTCCATTCTTTTTTCCACTACTGGGTATATCCAGTTACCTTCCGAACACATTTATATTTTAGCCCCATAACCTCTTCTGGCAACAAGCCAGCGCCGGGGACCTGTGCAGTGCTGTGAAAACAGCGTTTCCTTTGGCGTAGGCACAGCTGCTGCGGGGTGGTTTCGTTTGGTGCCACCTAGTCGGGAAAAGGGGGATGGCACCTCCCGTTCGCTTCCTTGGCCCCATCGGAGCCGATGCGATACTCCGTGCTCTGGGGCAAAGAGTAAAAACTCTCTGCACTGCTCTTCTCGGAGCATCTCCCTCGCCCTTTGCACCTGCGGCCAACGGGGTGCCATGACAGCTCGCAGCGGGCACGCTGAGCGGCACCATCCTCGCCTCGGCCCCCCAAAACAGCCCCGGCAGGAGCTACCTGCGACCCGCGGCGAGGTGGGAAGGACTGGGGCAGGGCTGCGACGCCTGGCTGCGTTCTGCACAGAGCTGCACGGCAAATCTCTTCACAGGGATTTACAGAGAAACGTTGGTTGAAGCATGTGCAGTTTGTTTCTGCAGTCTGGAAAACGGGCACGCGCTCATTGGCACCAAAAGCTGTTGTTTTCTTACCAACATGCAACTAGCAGGCATATTGGGCTCACCTGCAGGTGACAGGCCACCAGAATGACTTTCCCTCTTAAACGCAAGAGTGGCATAACCCTGTTGATTACGGTCATGATAGGGGAAGGAAAAACATAGGGTACTGATCTTCAGGAAATCTGCTTGATGGATAGGATGTCACTCATGCTCCCTCCACCTCATGTCACGCTCTGGGGTTCCTTGGCTGGATCATCCAGCCCTCAGCACAGTGTTCGTGTCGCCTCTTCAAAACCTTTCCCTGAGCGGGGCAGCCGATGATGTGCCAAAATTCTACAGTGTTATCTGGCCACAGCAAACAGAGGAGCTGGAAGCAGCCCCCTTTGGCTCACTGCCACCAAGTTACCTGCAGGCCCTTTACTAGGAATTGCACAGCAGTCTTATTGCTGTGACAGTGCAGGCAGTTTAAAACCCCTTGAGGATATATTCAGGTTTTGAGTGTGTCGTTACATAATTAATAAACTGATCTGAGCTTTGCCTGGGCTTTCATTACTCAGTAATTTCTTTTATTAATCTCTAAACCTCGCAAGGGCTGGGAAGACTTTGTCTGGAGCTATTGGCCCCCTGGCAGTTAGAGGACTGGCCTAGTTAGCAGAAGCTGCAAGTGGAAATGCCCTGCTTGCCTCCCAGGGTCTGGCAGCAATGGTCTTTCTGCTTGAGGTCTGCAAGTTTATGAGGCAGGAGAGGGTCTCAGAGAAGAACTTGCAGTCACATATGGATTGCAAACAATGTTCCGTCCCCTGGAATTTTTCTTTAAGTTTCAGTTCTTTCTGAGAAGTCTTTTTTAGTTGAAATAGTTCAAATATGTTCGGGGGAATTTTAGACAGGCTGTACTGTGCATGCTGAAAACCACAGTTTCTACCAAATTGTCAGTGGGACACTAAGGTGCTGAGCAGGTCCGTGGCCTCATACAGGAACAGACATCCCCGTCCCCCACATTGTCTGTCTGTTTCTGGCACCAGCACCTTTCTGCTCGTTTCAAAGCCGGGAGCCAGGGGCAGCCCAGAAGATAAATATCACATCTCCTTTACTGCAGGTTCAACCATCTACGGCAACAGTCACCAGGGTTTCCTGGCCATAGCAACACAGACCTACAGGCTTAAGAAAGAGTTACTGCAACTCAAAGAGATTACGGATAAAGATAACACACCTGGAAATAACACACTGTTCATTGACTTACATCCAGCTCTAATATTTGCCACCAAGTCAGCTACAGAAAAGAGCAGTCGGAGGCTCGTGCTGCTTCCCCTCGAGCCCCTCCGTGCTTTCAGCTGAGCACTTCATCCACCACCAGCAAGGAGAAAACCAGCTGCCACCGAGGCCGCCCAGCCCCAGCAGCGGGGGAGAAGGACTAAAGACAACACTTGTCTGGGGCAGTTACTTGACTTCCCCTGCCCCAGTCAAGTGCCCACAAATTCCAGTCTTATTCCAGCAAAGCTAAGCCCTGCCTGTGTGTTTCCTAGCTTAGCCCCAGTGTAGCACAGCAAAACTGGGCAACAGTCGTGCCATTTGCCTAGGGGCACTCCGTGCTGCCCTGTGTAGCTGGGGGTGCTCAGGCACGGCCTCTCTTACCCGTCTCCATGCAGAACAGCCAAGCTCACCTGTAGTCCTGTCTGCAGCTTTAAAGGGACTAGGCTGTGTCTTACACACCTCAGGGGGTGCATGGATCAGCAGACCGCACAGAGCCGTGGAACAGTCAAGTGCTGATTTTATTCCCAGCGGGAGCAATATGCCCAAATACATCTCTCCAAAACAGGAGCATATACCTCATTGGTACACATTGAAATGACAGGCAAGTACATCTGACACAGGTACAGGCGAGCATGGAACACACTCATTCAGAAGAGGACTGTTGACTCAAGCCTGGCATGACACTTGAGGGGCAGGGGGCCTAAAAAACCAGATCTGAGTCAGTCCCTAGGACCAAGGCGACAAGTCAAGTCTGCAAGCCCTTGCCCAGTGCTCCAGGACCTCTGTGGCCTGACAGTTTGGAATTTCCCTTTTTAAAAAAAAGAAAGAGAGAGGAACAATTTTATGTATCTGTGAGTAGCACTTCTAGCATTTCTGAGAAACTGCATCATGGAAATCACTGAAGGAGACATTGCACAAAGCAAATAAAAAGGAGGAAAAGAACAAAAAAAGGAGGGAGAAGAAAACAAAGATTTTCTCAAAGCTGAAGCTGCAGGTTGACTTTGGGTGTTGCAACCTGGCATTTTCATGTAGTGCTCCAGTTTTCAGACTGAAATATTTAAATACTGCTAAGCAGGTGGGATGTACTGAATCCAAAGCTGTCTTGAATGGCTTGAGTATACAGTGTATCTGTACTTGAGTATATAGTGTATCCTCCCAAATAGTTTGCATAAAACTTTCCACTACCACTAGTGTGCCAATAGATGAGGCCCAGTATTAGATGGTTACACTTCCAGAGACAGTGTAGCTAAAAAGTAATAAACATCTACAGTCTTAGAACACATTCCGATACTCAGATTGCCAAACTGGAAGGCTGACTCAGGTGAGAGTCTGTTCAGAACACCGGGTTAAAGATTTTTACTCATTTGTAAATAGCTAAAAAGTAATAAACATCTACAGTTTTAGAAGACATTCAGACACTCAGATTGCGAAACTGGAAGGCTGACTCAGGTTAGAGTCTGTTCAGAACACCAGGGTTAAAGATTTTTACTCATTTGTAACTAAAATTGGAACTTTGCTAAAGACCACCAATACGTAGGTCTCATCTAAAAGTGTGCCAGGTGCAGGGGCCTGTGAGATTTTATTTGTTCTAAAATAGTTTTTGGAGAACAAACACACAAAAAAGGAGCAATTTTGCCAGAAATTCTTTTCATCTTTCCCTCTCCTACCCAATACTTAGGTTTTGTTTTGGTCTTGATGAAGCACAAAGAGCTCTGGCATAAAATAGAAAAGATTTGTATGGAGAATTTGGAGATCGAATGGGGAGACATTTTCCACTTCATCTTTTCCACACAAAAGACTCTGAAGTGCTTGGGCATTACAGGACTGTGAGCAATACATGGAATTAACAGAAATAGATGAACACCCTGCACTGCACCAGGGAACTTCATAACATGTTTGCACCCCCACTTTCCCACCAAGCCTGGAGCACAAGCAGAGCCATGAGCAAGGCTCACGCTGTATTTCTAGTTTCTAGCAGAGGAATAAGTTCACAAATAAGTTATATATAAATATATCTGTCTTGAGTGTTAATTCATGAAAGGCTACTTCAACCATGACTCAACTGACAGCCACTTGAGGCTCTGAACTTCTCTGCATTCCTGAAATCTAAGGCTCAAAGTCAGGAAGTGGAAGTACAGAAACGGCTCAGGAACATGCTGTAAACTTTCTGGGTTTAGCAGAAGGAACACTTGAGCCGAGCCCTAGCAGAGTGTGGCCGTCTGCTCGCAAGTAAATCAGTGTCTACCACCTTGGGAGGATATTGGCCCTTGAGCGGGAGCAGCCCCCAGCTGCTGTCACTCCGGGCCCGCAGAGGCATCTCCATAGGAAGGTGTTGTGTGTGTGAGGTGCTACACCATGGCTATAGCAGAGTCCTCAGTGCTGCTCTCCTGCTCCAAGCCCACGCGGCGGATGGATTCCCTGTATTTCTGCCGTCCCAGCTCGATGATGGCTTCAATCTCATCAGCAATGTCCTGGCGGCCACTCTCCTTCATGGCTGTGATCAGCTTTTCCACACACTCAGGATCCTCAGAGTTTTGCTTAGCCCATGAGAAAAGCATGTCCAGGATCTGTTTATCAAGGTCCTCTCTAAAGAAATGGAGGAACAGAGAAGTCACCAACACACTCTCCTTACCAGCAACCCAAATTGGTCAGCCCATGTTTGGAGCACTGAAGGAGTCATCCAGACACACACAAAGCACTCAGTGAGCCGACGTCTTCTCCTTTTCTCTACATTTTTTTTTCTAACAGAATTTTCAAATTAAAGCATTCTGATTTTTAATGTGACTGCAAAGCCCCACAGTTCTCTTCTACCACCTGGTCAGACTACATGTCCCGTGATATACCACGATCTCTTCTTAAATAAAGATAATGTTCCCAATTAAAGGCCTGAACCTCACTGTGGGAGATAGAGTCCAGTCAGGAATCCAGATCACAGAACAGGAATACGATACCTAACCTGCAAAGCTCCTGAGGTTTGTTATTTCCAAACTTTGCTGTTCAAACAGTATACTTTATTTTTCAACAGCAAAAGAAAACAATCCGTTTCCCATGGAAAAGGTAATGTATTGAGAACTGTTAGTCAATCTGCCCTTCATCCAATGAAACAATTCCAGCAGCAAAACTTCCAACCAGCCCAGCATGAGTCAGGATTATTGCACTGCAGTCGTATGTGGCTGTCCATTCCCATGTCCCACCTTACCTGTGGTTGTACCCGATGCGCTCAATCTGTTGATAGGTCAAGCCCAGGTTCAAGCCGATGGTCTGCCAGTCGCCTCCCACACGCCTGGCAATGCTCAGCAGGTTGGCCTGAGTCAGGTAGCCAGTCTCAGCGTTTCCCAGGTTCAGTGGAGGGAAGGAGAAGCTGTTCAGAGCACTGGAATTGTCACCCGAGCGGGATTTCAATCTCTGTTTCATAGGGAAAAAAGAAGAGAGATATAACTTGCTAAATACATTTTCTTAGAAGAGGACAGTGTTTGGTCATTCAGTCTCTACACTGAAACTTGCTTCCTCATACTGAGAAGGAAGGAAGATATTAATTCAAGGCAGAAAAGTCAGGCATTAAGAAGCAGTGAGCACTCTAACCTGCAAGACTGGCAATGCTCTGTACCTCTGAAAAATATCAAATTATTATGCTCATAGTCACAGCTCACACTGGGAAATTTCTTTCCTGTCTTTAGAGATATTTTTTTAATGAACCATTTCCCCAAAACCTATTTGCTTCAGCAGCAAGAGACCACATAGTCTTGATTTTTAGTTGAGGCTGCATGTGTCAGAAAGCGATGGGAGATCATGGCACATGATTTGAAGGGAAATGTTCAGCACACAGAGACATTTTCAAGTTTAAGTTCCTCAAAAACAATTAGATTACATAAGAGAAAGTAACTTTTCTCTCAGTAACACATGACCTGTCTTTTAAAGGCCAGTGACTCACACCAGAATACTTTCACCCCAAATCTGTAATCAAATCCAGCTGAACTACCTCATCCAAGACCCTTCTATTTTCTTGCCCTTGTAATTGGGGTGACACTGAAATTTATGTTCAAAACAGAACCTTCTCTTAATTAAAGCCAGCTTCCAATTATGCTTCAGTGATTTTTCCTCATAGCACTACCCTACACTTCATTTACAGAAAACTAATACCTCCCCCTACACTCACAGAATACTTAAAAGGGAGAGAAGTTGCTTTCCTTTCCTTTGTGCAATTGGGCAGCAATTTCTTGTAGTCATTCATGAGAGGGGAGAAAATTAGCCCAGCAGGAAGGGCCATCTCTTTCGCTATCTAAACTCATTTTTCTGTAGGGGACAAAATAACTCACAGGCAGTTTGATTGGCAGAGTAGCAAGCCAGAGCGAGTCTGGTCCTTTCCTCCTCCTGCTGGCGCCTTCAGGAATGCTCTCAGGAACTGCCCCTCGGTAGAAAGAGACCTTTGCAAACAGAGAGCATGCAGTGAGACCCAGGTGCAAGCACATTGGCAAACCCGCTTTTCTGTCTGGGAAAGGAGGGATCTGGCATTTCCCGCCTATCCTCAGACCCTAAATATGCCCTCCCACACCCCATTAGAGTGTAACTGAGAGGGGCACTGAGGTTATGCCGTAACTGCTAGACTCCCTCCCATTTCTGCTAGTACCCCAACGGCTAAGGCCAGAGAGAGATTGTGGGGAGTGATCATTCCACATCTTCTCTTTCTGCACATTCAGGGTTCAGTCAATGAAACAAAAAGCCAAGGAAAAGAGAAAAGGAAGAGAGTGATGCACCGTGTGCAGACACTGAGGTGAGGAGCACCATAAAAAGAGTAATAATGATAAAGGAGGGCAAAAAAGTCCTTGCACAATTATCACTGGTTGCTTACCTGGCCTTTTACAGCTTGGCCTTTCCTGTCTACAGGTGAGGTCACATAGATTTCTTTCATGTTCTTCAAGTGCGAATAAAATATGAATGAGAGACGTCCATCCACACAGTCAGGACGATCTGTATTAGAGAAACAGCAGCAATTCAACTTGTGCAGAGAAATGTGCATGCTTTAAAGCCTGGACAACAGTCCATCATCCATAGGAAGCCTCCAGGCTACAATCTCCTCCTCCTCCTAATCAGGCCTGAACCAATTCCCCTTCTCCTTTGGGTGACACAGGAGAGCAGGTCCAGCAGATGAAGAAGGAGAATGACCACAAGGTGGAGATAAAGTTCAATAAGGCAAGGCAAGCCAGGGCAAGGACAGAATCAGCTGCAACAGTACTCTGTAATGCACAAAAACAGATCATCTAGTTCTTCACCATTTTAACTGTGCAAGAGGAAATAGGAATGGAGACTAAGGGAAAAATATATAAACAGGTATAACATTCATATACATAACTGTGTTGAGTTATATGTAAGTTACAGTCCCGCCTAAATCCGGATAAAGGGACAGATTCCAGGCTCATCAACTCCATTGCAAATCCAGTGCACTTTATTATTCTTGATAGAGTTGTCTTAATTTACACCACTGAAACTGAGCTGTATATTCAGGTTTTGCAGAAGGTGGCTCAGTTTGCAGCTGTAATAGATTCAGATACACTGGATCATAAAACACCATCCTGGGTTTTAGTCCTGCTCCCTCTTTCTATCTCTTCTAAAAACTCCATTGGGGAATAGGACTAAAAGGTTTACGAAAAGGGAGAGCATGGAATTTGGTAATAGAATTCTCTGCTCTGGATCATTTCAGAATCTCTTCTCCAGAGAGATATCTTTAAGTAAGTTTTCCCAGAAATGGACAACATGAATTAGATCCCTATGGGCATCCCATAGCAGTGTCTGAGATGCCAAGGAAAGGACATAACTGGCTGCACAAGCAGATCAGTCACAAAACAAACACCCCTTTGTAGATCCTTCTGCAGGCTACAGCAGCCTGAGAGGGAACAGGAGCCAGGGTAGGGCCAGCAAGGAGCCCAGCGCAGCCATACCCATATCGATGCTGATGCCTCGCTCAAAGGCGGCGAAGAACTGCTCTCCCTCAAACATCTCGACCATGTCAGACGGTTCGGGGCCTCGGTAGCGGTCCTGCAGCTTCTTCAGCACTGGGTCGACCTGATGAGGATGACAACATAGGAGCCTCGGGTTTGGTCTGAAGCAATTAATGTCTGTCCCCAGATCTGAATCCCCAAGCCCATAATGTTCATTCACTTTCAAAAGGGAAAGTTTATTTTCTGTGGAAAAGAAAAACAAATGAATGAACATCTAGCCACTCCCATTGTAGACACATTCACTAAAGGAAGAAGTCTTGCTCTGAGTCTTTGGACTTCCCTATTACTGCTCTTGAGTAAAAAGCAGAAAAGCCTGTGTGGATTAACAAAGATAGGCCATCCCAAAGCTGCCCCTAAAAGGTATAATCTCTTCACTGTCCTTTTAACACATCAGTGACCTTCAAGAGCAGAGTGTTATTTGGCCCCTTTCTCTCCTAATAGTCTGCAAAATGCACAAGCTGCAGCAGCACACAGCTGGGGACACCAGAAGGCTTATTTTGGCATAGCAGCCTGTAGTATCTTAACTCTGTGAGCCTTGTGGTTCCAGAGGCAGTGCAAGGGTTAGCCTAGAGTTATGATGTCTATCCTTCTTCACATTTAGAGCAGTGAACCCTATCTCCAACCTCACTGGCAGAAAAACATCACCTTGATTGTGCTGTGAGTGCTATTGCTCTATCTCCTGGATACAGAATCTGAGACCCTTGTTTTTTGGTGGTGGTGGTGTTTTTTTTTTTTTTTTTTTTAGCCACATGTCATTTTGATGGGCAGGAGCAAATAAAGACAAGAGGGAGCAATCAGGCCAGAAGATTAATCCGAGACCTGGACATGCAGCCCAGCTCCAACAGTTTGATGAATGAAGCCTCCCTGAGAAGCACTGCCTTGCAGGGTGCACACTCTCCAAATCCAGAATTGCTTTTACTTTGTGGACATCTGAAGCAGCACTGCTGAGGGATGATACCAGCGGTGGGCAGAGAGGGTAGAAGAGCTGCCTAAGTGCTTTCCATCTCCTTCAGGACAAAGTTAGACAACTTAGCTCAAATCACCCTCCCTGAGAGCATATGCTGACCTGGTATTGCACTGAAGCAGACCGAGGAGATTTTTCTGTCCATGCTATGAGCCTGCTTCCCAGTGAGTTGGCATCACAGTACCAACATAGTGTGGTGACAACTAACCCTAACCACAACCCCAAGGCAGTGAGCAGGACCATGTAGTGCCCTGCTGTCCTTACATCCTGCAAAGAAAGGCCCCAGGAGCTCAGAAGCTGGACAATGCAGCCTATATCAGACCTTGTGTTTGGGGACACACTGAAGCAAGACTTGCTCAGGATCTTTCTTCCTCTGCAGAGCAATGAAGTTGACCTGGTACATACGCAGCCGCTCGTAGACTTTCTTGGCAATGCCTCCAATGTAGGTCTTGGTGGTGTACCACAGCCAGTACCTAAAAATGATGGGTAAAGAGAATGTCTTAAGATGGGCTTGAACTCCAAAGGAGAAGTGGAATAGGCAGGATTAATGGAATGATCTCTGGCTAGAGGACAGAAAAAGCAAGATGAAGAAACATCCCATCCCTTCCTCAAGATCAATTTCCCACTTACCAGGAGAAGTGGGTGACTTCAAAGATTGCATAAAGATGGGTGAATTCCAGCACCACCTGACTGGTAATGTCATTCCAGGTTTGGCCCTGCAGGTCACCGTGGAGAAGGTGCAGCCTTGACCGATCCAAGTTTAGCCCTAAAAACAAAAATCAAGACGCATGCTGTTCAGCAGAAAGCTTTAGTTTGAGATGCACAGGGGCTTCTTCCTTCCACCTTCTATTCATGGATTTACAAATCCGGACATGGTTCAGGGTGATTCACCTTTTTTTTTTTTTTTTAAAGCCAAATTAAGTGTCATGCCCTTCTCTTCGGCATCCAGGACAGGATTTTGTTTTAAGAAGAGTAGCAGTAAAAGGATTCGGCTACCCAAAGGCTTCCAGGAAAATCTCAGGCACAATATGCAGTCGTAAAACTGGCAGTGTACTGATCTCCACCAACACAGATTCACTGTGTGACCCCCATCACCAGCATTTAGGGGTTAAGGAAGTTCTGTCTCTTTCTAAACGTAAAGCCCAGAGACTTTTCAATGTCGACTCACTCCAACCATACAAATACCAGGTAGTCTTGGAAAGAAGGCCAAGCCAATACTGAAAAATATGTTACTTCCTCATAAGAAAGCCAGGGGAGGCCAAAGAAAACAGACATCAGTAGGTGCAGGGCACTCCACATGCAGACAGGGGAATTCCTGGCAAGTCAGCTATTGGACTGAGTCTGTTCATGGCACAGTATTCAGAGCAGGAGGTGGCTCAGTGTGTGGTGCTACAGTATTAACTGCAGCAGCTGATTCCTGAGCTGGAAGCAAGGGAGAAGGCAGCCCCCTGGAGGCAGCATCTCTGTGTCTGCTTCAAGTCATCCTATTCCCAATCACGAATCAGAGGCCTGTTAGGATACATCTCCTGAGCATACACAAGTGCCTCTCCCACCCATCCCACCAAACCCAGCAGGCTAAGCACAAACGCGGGCCAGCAGGGAAACCCATTTGCCAGGGCCATTCTCCTGCTGCTCTTTTGCTGTGACTTGCTTCTCCTCTTCCCCTGCAGGACCAGCAGCTCAGTGCTACTTTGCTAAGAGATCTGAATTGCCACTGCTCTCTCTGCCACCCTGCACTAGCACCTCGCCACGATGCTTTTCCTGCACACAAAGCAATAAGCATTACTAGTAAGAGAAAAAAAAAAAAAAAAAAAGCCCAGCTTGCCACTTGTGGTTTTCCACACACAGAGTTTCTCTTGGCCAATTTTGGGAATAAACTGACCTGTGACCCCAAGTGGGAGGGGGAGCTGAATTCTCACTGGCCTGAGAAAATCCACGGGGCGATCCTGGGAGAGGCAGAGCAGGGGGCTGGCTCGGCAGGCCGCGTCGGCCGTGATTTCCTCTACCTCCTCTGCAGAGATCGGCAGCACCTGGACGTGGAGCGCGGCGCCGTGAGTCGGGCAGCTGGGCACTCACATCCCCCGTCAGCAGCGCGGACCCCCAGCGCCCAGCGGGCAAATGCTGTGCTTGGCTCAGGGTGCAGTGGGAAAAGGGAGCCCAGTGCCGGGCCACCCTCTGCTCTAATACTGGTGCCAACCCGGCAAGCAGGCGCAGGTCTGCCAAGACTTGCTCTGCCAAATCATTATTCTTTGCAACGGAGCAAGAGGCAAAAGCTTCTTCCTGTTCCATTCCCAGCAGCTGATGCAGCAGGAGGAGCAGTGGCAGAGCTGTGAGCAGATCCTCTCTCCATTTTGCAGGCAGGGAAACTAAGGCAGGAAGTGATCTGAGATGGGCCAGCCCATGGCACATCCATGTCAGACCCGAACTAGCCTAGGGCAGCCAGCTCAGCTTCTGACCTGCTACTCAGCATGGGTCAGCAGTCACAGCAAAGCTCACCATTTATTTATTTTAAGCACACATACCTGCATTTTGACACTGCGAGTCTCTTCGGTGACTCCAGGAGGGAAGATCACTTTAATGTCTGGATCCACACTAGAAAAAAGCAATGTCCCCTCCGCTGGCACTTTGCATTCATTCTCTACAAGCCGAGAAACAACTAGGAACCAGGAGAAGTGAAGGACACTACAACAAGCCACATGCTTCTGTAACAGAAGACAAGGAAGAAGAGAAAACATGCAGGCATATAACATAACACAAGAATAGCAAGAAAAGCAGGGAAAAAAAAAAAAGCAGTAAACCCCCAGCAGATCAAAATGCCCAATACTAGAACAGGAATGAACCGTGGCATGCTTTAACTTACCAGCTTTAGGAGACATATTTCCACGAGAGTGCAAACCCATAGCCAAAACCCACTCCATTTTATGGACACAACACTTCTCACAAGATGCTTCACAAACTGTTTCAGGCAAAACACACGAGGGGAATAGGAGTGATAAATGTGTACCTGCTTACCTTTGACTTCTTCTGCTCCACTTTTGTTCTCAGGTCGCTCCAGCTCTGCCCGCTGAAGGTCCGAACGACCACCTCACGCTGGTGCAGGGTTTGAGGAGAGGCAAAGGGCATCCAGATCTCCACCTCCTGGAACGGAGCCAGTACAACAAGACATTCCCAGAAGACACCAACAGAAGGGACAAAACCAAGCCCTGATCTGGGTCTCCTGTGCCCTCCCGTGCAAAGGAGAAGGGGGGCAAAGTATGGCCTGTGGGGGGGAGTTGGGGAGGAGCTGGGAGCCTGATCTGGGCTGCAGGTCCCACGTGAGGACAGAGGATGTCAAGCACACAGTGTATTGTAACTGTAGAGAAAATGCAGCAGTTTGTGGGCAGCAAAAACAACCTTTCGGCTGAGCTGTTGTCAGCAGTGCAGTGCTGGTGGTATAAGTACTCAGGAGCCTGCAACAGAACCACCCAATTGGACTTTTAGGGAAATCCCAAGCTGCTTGCAAAGTGAAGTCAAATGCAGGAACAGTGGGGAAAATCAAGGAGAGAGGCCGATTCCGTGCCAGAAAGACTGGCTGTGTCCTTCCTGTGTCTTTGCAGTGGGGCTTTTTTGACAGCCAGTCAAACAGCTACTGAAAACCAGCAGTGTCAAGTGCAGCTGGCACCCCAGTCCCAAAGGACTCTGCCACGCTGCTGGGTGGTGGCAGAGGCCGCTGGCTCTGCAGGCGGCCTGGACGTGCCCTCACCTGCTGGAATTCCAGCCCATGGGGCTGCAGCTCCAGGACCGTGCTCAGCAGGACGTCGTGGTGCCGCAGCCTCACCCAGCGCGGGTCCGGCGCCAGCGTGCGGAAGTGGATGCGCAGCGGGACGGAGGCAGCTCCCGGGGGAAAGTAGAAACGGATGCCACAGGCCAGGACTACTTTGCAGCCTTCAGAGGTCACGGTAAAGCTTCCGGAAAACAAACAAAAAAAACATGTATGAATGTACGACACCGTGCAATGACTTCAGCACTCCAAAAATCAAGAGAAGAAATCTCCCACCTTCTCTGACCGGCCTACTGAGCCCCTAAATTCTCTGTGTACATCTGTATGCCTACCAGGCAATCATGTCTGGGACCTTGTAACACTACTGTAACTTAAGTTATTAAAAACAGAGGCATACCTGTCCTCTCCTGATGCAAGGAACAGTCTTTGCAGCCTTCTGGCACTGGGTTCATCTGCAATAAGAAAGGTTGGGTAGCAGAAGCAGACAGAGGTTGTTTAGATCAGGGTAAACAAGAAAAATTGAACTTACATTTGGTTTTTGGTTTAATCCTAACGTGATAGAAACCACTAAAGAAACCATGTTCCAGGGGTGTTCAGATCAAGGAGCAGGTGGAGGATGGGAAGCAGCCTAGGGGTCCCCAGATGCACTGGGAATACTGACTGCCCCCTCCAGAAAAGCTCCAAGCAGCTCCCCATCCACCTCCCGTGCAGCTCCCAGGGCTAGGAATGAGCACCTGAGGCCGCTCCTGGGAATGTGAGCAGCCCTGGGAATCTCACCCCGACTCCTGCTTCATTGCCTTTGCCTCAGAGATCGAGCTGCCCTCCTACAGATGGGCCAAGGGCAAAGCCGGGGTAATCATGCTGCTGCATCACCTCCTGTTGCCCTCTCTGTTTCCCGTCAATTCCATTTTCACCTCTACTTCCCTAATAGCGGTCCAAACAAGCCCACCCCCAGGACTCCGAGCCCTTCAGAAGCGGCTGAGCTCAGGAGCTCCAGAACCAGCACTGCTGCATCCTTACAAATTAATCCTTACGCCAGACAAAGAAATACTGATCTAATTCCCCCCTGCTTCTCCTCCCTACCCCAAATCCATTCCCACCATCACGGGCACGGCAAGGGAGCAGCTGGGCAGGCCCAACACGAGACAAGCCGGGCCATTACCGGGCGGCGGGGCGGGCTCGCTCTGCCCCAGGGGGTTGCCGCGGAGGCGCGCGCACGGCGAGCTCTGGATCTCGGGGGGCACGGCGCGGAGACGGTTGTTCTGCAGATCCAGCCTGGACAAGTTGGGCAGGCTGGCGAGCGACGCGGGCACCGTCACCAGGAGATTGCTGTGGAGATGCAGCCGCCGCAGACACTTCAAATTGGCTGCAAGTTAGAACAAGACGTGACTCCCCATCCGGGCTGTTAATTGTACTGAGCATCAGCCCCAGGCCCCCCTCCCCACTCTCTGCACCACAAATACACACACACTCCTGCTGCTGAGTGATGGATCTTCACCCCAGTCGCACACGCCGTACGGGAAAAGCTAAGCGCTTCTCGTATCTTTATTTCACCAAATAAAGGGGACCAGTGAATTAGATGAGAGGCACCGCAGCCTTTTTTGCCTTGTGCTTTACAGCACTCAGCTATGAGATGCTTCCAAAGGACAGCAGCGTCACTGACAACCCCTGTGCACAAAATCAAGCAGGACCCAAGAGTCAACAAAGCTGCTGAGCAGCAGAAAGCAGGGCCTAGCTCCATGGGCTGGTCCATATCTGACAACCACTGTTTCAAGCCCAGATTTCCAGCTATACCATTAGTCCCAGCATTTTTGTCTCCAGTGCTGGATGCTACCCAAAAGCAGCCAGGATTCTGAAAAATAGATAGAAATTTAGGAGTATCCTACTGATGAGTGAAAACACAGCCCAGAGATCCCTTAGTGGGCACTAAAGGGACTGCCTGAACCTGGCATGTTGCTCCGTGATATCCCCTCCACCCAGACGCCAGCAAAACGGACAATTCCCTCTAACAACTCTATGGGGACAGAGACTGAGGGTCATCTTCTTTTCCTCAGAGCAATATTTACCTAACGAGTCTGGGATGCTTGATAACCGATTCCCAGAAAGATCTAGTTCCGTGCAGCTGTGCAGATTCCCAACTTCTTCAGGAAGGTGTTCCAGGGCATTTCCTGAGAGATCAAGGTCCTGCAGTGCTGCCAGCTCCCCAATGCTCCGTGGTAAGCTCTTCAGCTGGTTGCTCATAGCAGAGAAGAACGTCAGTTTGCGCAGGCAGCCGAAGTTCTCAGGCAGGGCCTCGAGGCTGTTGTGGCTCACCAGGAGCGCGCGGAGGCTCTGCAGGTGGGGGATGCAGCTGGGCAAGGTGGAGAGGCGATTGAAGCTGAGGTCCAGGTGAGTGAGACACCTCAGGCTCCCCAGGTCTGGTGGCAAGCTTGTCAGCAAGCCTGGCTGCCACGAGCCGAACTCGTCGCGGGCATGGCCACCTGCGGGGAGGAAACACAAGGACAGGTCACCGAGCTCGCTCTGAAGAACCAGTGCTCAGGAGGTGGAGAGCTGCTGACCACTATGAGAAACGCTGACCACAAAGGACAGCTGGATATGTCCTTTTTCTGCTCTTTTCCTCAGTTTCCCCATCTGTGATGGGGGCATAACAGTGAGAAAATCCAGACTGCCGTGGTTGACTCAGAGAGCTCCCCTAAAGGCATCGGGAGTCAAAGCTCAGGAGCAGCCAGGCCACTCCACACCAAAGCACCACTGACAGGGTGGCCACTACCCCTCCAAGCCTCCCACCCTCCATCCCCATCTTAGACAATAAACACTGCCGGGGCTCTCCTCACCCTCTGAGGGATGAACAACCCCGAGGACTGAGACTGGCAGGACAGGAGAGGGATCCTGGGCAACCCCTGGGGAAGCAGACACGAGGAAGGCAGTGAAAATGTGCCCAAAAGGCAGGTGCTTCATTAGCAGGGTTCAGAGGACACAGAGGGGAGGATGCAACAGCCCGTCCCCCGCGCCGGCTTGAGAAACTCCAGCTGGGGAATCGTTGTGCCCAGGAAAAAGAAGTCGGGCAAGGAAACACAAACTTGCCCCATGCTCGATTTCCTCATGGCTTCCCCCTGCCCTTCCACTGCTGCCCATCTGTAAGAGCTTAGAGCAAAGGGCACCAAAAATATTCATGGTGTATAATGGTAAAAATATATATAGAATCAAAGTGCACCTTGCACATAAGAAAATCCCAGTGAACTACTTTATACCCCTTCAGGATGAGCAAGGTACATCTCACAGGCAAGTGTGGCAAAAGGCATTACTGTTATCACCACTTTACTGAAGGGAAAAAAGATAAACAAAATGATCCGCACGAGATTTTTAAGAGAAATCTGCAGCAGATGCAGAAATGAACCTCAGTCTTTCACATTTTAAGCTCAAATGTTGAAGCCTGGCCACAAACCCACTCTTTTCTCTCATGCATTTTAAATTCCACCTCCTAAAGACCAAATGATTCAGTCTGCTATAAAAATCTCATCACTCATATTAAGATCTTCCTGCAATAAAGAGAGAGAAAGTCAAAGCAGGATTTAATATTTCTATGTAACTGTTATTTCAGCATGCCAAATTCCAGGCACACCCTGAATCATACTTTTGGATACTCCTCTGGTTGATCTTGAATGCTTCTAAACTCATCCCATTGCCGACATTAAGTAAGTATCAAGCTGGGATTTATTCTGAGCAACCTGCAGCAAAAAGAACTCATTAACATTTCCAAAAATAAAAGAGGGGCTGAACACCTACCTCCAAAAATCTATCACCTGTCAACCCCTCTCTCTATACATAACTGTGCCAAAAAAATCCCTCTTTCCAGGGGATGGATAAAGTCGAGCGTCAACCTGACTAGACTCCACACGCTGATGCCCCAGCAGCTGCAGAAGCGAAATGGGGGAACGGGAGTCTCCACAAGCTGCATCTTGGAAATGGGCAGACAGCTTTGAGCAAGACAAAGAGCCACAGCTCACTGGTACAAAAAAGAAAAAAAGCAAAACAAAACAAAACCACATGCGAAGGTATTTTGTCCTGCTGATGGAGAGAGAAGGAAAAATGAATAAAGCTGAGCTTAGAGAAGCAGGTAGTGATGGGTCCAGGAATTTACCTTTGAGCACCAGGGACTTGAGGCTCTGCAGGCGAGGGAGGATGTCCAGCGCGGTGCCGAGGAGGTGGTCGTTGCTGCTGAGCCGGACGAACTCCACCTGGGCCAGGTCTCCTTGGTGCTGCTCGAGCAGCTGGAGGAAGTGGCTGCAGCCGTCAGGATAAACATCCAGATTGAGCCTGTTGTCGGCCAGGCAGGGGCTGGCGAGCGCAGGAGCCCCTGGAGCGCCCTCCCCGCGCTCGTCCCCGAGCCCCGGCGGCTCTGCCATCTCCTGCGCCTCGGCGGTGCTGGGACATGCTCCGACTTGCCAGGCGGGGAGGCACCGGCGGCACCACGAGGCAGCCGGGACCAGGCGCGAGGACGGCTCTGAAAGGGAGCACAAAGACAGGCTGAAGGCCTCGTACAGGAGTCCAGGAGGGCTGCAGGCAGCCTGTAACCACTGCAATGGGGCAGAGGGGATTGCAGGTGTGTAACGGGCAGAGGGCATGGAAATGGAGCACAAGGGCCTCCAGGAGGCTTCTCTCTCTTTGGGAAAACCTCTGCATTTCCCCAGGCTTCAAGGAGCAAAGTAGCTACCCAACTACTGTCACGACAAACAGCAAGATTAGCTTGGAGAGACCTGACGGCTAACGGCAAAGCCTCGCGCAGAAGTGATGGAAATGGGTGCATTGCAAAGTGCCTCCGTGAGACATTCCGGAGGTTCCTCAGCAAAAGGGGAGAGCGGGCAGAGAGAGCGGGACCAGGCACAGAGCCTGCGGTCCTCGCGGGCAGCAAGTGAGGGGCCTGGTGCGCAGCCGGGAGCCAGGGGATAAACACGAGTGCAGCTGGAAGCAGGCAAGGGGCTGTGGAGCAAACACGGCCAGGATGGGCAGCGAAGGGACCTGCCCCGCGAGTGAGCACAGTGACGAGCGGCTTCCCGGCTTCCACCCCGCGCAGCACCCGCGGGACAAGGAGAAGAGGGCGCACAGGCATCGTGCCACGGGGGGCAGCGCTCGGGGAGCACTGCTAGCACATGAGAACAAATTAATTACGGCACAACTTCTTACAACCTACAGCCAGGACCAATGAAAGCAGTTACTGTTGTCCTGGCACATGGTCAACACAAAGGCCAGCACCGGTACTCCCTTTCTGCCAGTGGTTACCCACTTCTAAGTCCCCAGTTTTGTGTCATTTCCACTTTCTTTATCTTTTTAAACTCCTGAGCTTGGCAATGAAAGAAGCTTAAGGACACGAGTTCCAGGAGGTTTATGTTTAACACCCAGCCTCGCATGGAAGAGCTGAACAAAAGTGCCTTTCGAGTGCGAGATGTGGAACCTCCTCACAGCCCCCGCGGCCAGCAGGAGCAGCGCTGTCCACGG